ATTCATATAGGATGGGAGAGGCCGGCGGGGCGCACCGGGACCCGCCGACCGGGACCCACCGCTAGCTTACCGAGGCCAAAAACAACAAACACAAACGTCGAATCAAATCGACGCAGAAACAAATGCCGCCATTTCCATACAGACGCCGTGCCGAAGGTCTCTTGTCAGCCCCCCTGCCCCCCTTTTCCCCTCCAAAAAGCTAAATTTATTCCAAAAAAATAAAACTAAAAGAAGGCGCTTTGCTGGAAGAACAGAAAAAAAAGAGACCCGGGCCAGGCCAGGCAGGGGCGGAAGTGGCGACACGAAGAATGACAGAACGAAGAGCCGTATAATGAGCCGGGGGCCGGCGGACACACCGGCCGGACCAGCCTGATTTGCGTGCGGCGCGCGACTCGCCGTCCCGACCTGACAAAGACACCGCAGCAGCGTCTGCGCCCTCCACGACCGGCCGGCAGGTGCGGCCGCACAGGTAGTCGTGGCGTGCCATAACTGTGCGCGCACCCACTGCATTCGATCGGGTGGACGAGGAGGACCCGGCCAGTTACCACGCACACCCTTCGAAAGAGCAAGCAGGTTGGTTCGAAACGTTTTTCATCAAATCCACACAACCATGTCAGTCGTTCCCAAAGCCGTCCCGGCTGCAGGTGGCGCTGGTGCGAATACGCTCGCAGGCCTCCCACCATGGGGCTGCTGCTACTGCTGCTGCTTTATTTATCAAACCTCGCCCGGGGGATTTGATAAGAGCGGCGGTCCGGATTAGCACCACCACTGCCGACCCATTACGGAGCAATATAACAGCGACTAATCAGCTGTTCGCCGATTACACACACCCCGCGACAGAGCAGGCGGGGGGAGTATAAGGTAGGTATAGTGGATTAATCTTGAACGCGACGCGAAGCGCCACACACACCGGCGCGGTCGGTCGGTCGGTGGGCGCGCCAGGCCCGGCCCGCGCGGGTCTTTGGAATGTCACGAAAAATATGGAAATGCCCTCGCAACCCTTTTGGCACTACGTTACGCCCCGGGCTCGGGCCGGCGCTCTGCAGAGGGAGGCCGACAGTCCGCACGAGTCTGTTTGATTTACAGTTTTAATCAAGCGGCGCGGGCGTGGCGTAGCGTGGCGGGCCCCTCCGCCACTCCTCTCCCGCTCGCCTGTCGCTGTGCGAGTTTGTCATTGTTGCCAAGCATTTTTACCCGGCGCGCGCGCGCGTGTGTGGGTCCATCCCGCCGGTCCCGCCCGTCCGGCCAAACTTCAGATTGTCGTCCAAATCCAATAAAGCCAAAAGGCCACCTCATGACTTCTGCCGGGCCCGGGCTGGGCTGGGCGGGCGGGGCAATGCCAGGCCGGATGGGCCGCACCGCCCGCCCTCTTTCCCTCCAATAAGGCGCCCTCACGTCATTCCGGGCCAACGCGACGCAAAAATTCCCCGCAACATTTAATACCGTCACTGGAATGTCAAGCTTGCATAGGATTCCAACGCGCACCCTCGGGCGGCCCTCCCGCCCCCCCCCCCCCCCCCCTCTGGAGTGGGGGTGCGGGTGGTTGGGGCGAACGGCGCTTGTGACGAATCAGATTCGCCGAGTCGCTCCATCCCCCTAGCTGCTCCCACTCCCCGCTGCAATAACTGAGGGACGTCGTCGACAAGGAATTACAAGCAGACTTCAAAACTATGTCGTTGTTGGAATGCCTATCTAATGGTGGCGCGCTGGCGTGCTGGGCGCGCGGGACGCACGGGGTGGCGCGGGGGAGGCGACAAACGTGTGGCCGTCCATCTTGCACCCCTTCCTCCACTGCAAGCACACTCACCTTTTCGAGTTCTAATAGGTGAAACCGTAGGACTTGTATTGCTTGGACCATCTGCAACAAAAAAGAGACAAAATACAATTAATAACATGGCTTGATAAATGAGTGGTTTTTTCCAACTCTACTTTTTCCGTCTTCTTTTAGGGGGCCAGTCTGGTATATAGAAAAACGCGTTTCTCGAAACTTTGCCTTTTTTCGTATTCCAACCAATACAACAACAACAAAAAAAGACAAGTAGGGAGAAGGGAAGAGGGGGGGGGGGGCAAAACCTATGACAGTATCAGCCAGCGCGACAAGCCACGACTTCCGGCTGTCTTCCGGGCGCCATGAGGCCGCGGCGTTCCACCCGGCCACGCCAGTCCACGCCCAGCTCTTTGGACACATGCCCAGTCCAGTCCGGCCTAACCGAACCCCGCAGCCGACCCGGACGGCCCCGACTGATTGATATACTTTATGATGGATTGGCACGCACCGCAGCGCTGGAGGCTCAGCTGGAGGCCGCTGGAGGCCGCCTGGAGAGTCTCTCTGGACCTCGCGGAGGACGCACGCAACGGGGCGTGTACCCGACCCGGGCGAATGCAGGACGCCTTTTAGCGACTCAATCCGGCCACGCCCCGCGTACACGTGGGCGTGTCGTACACGGCTAATTATGCTAATAAATGAGCCATATCGCTAATGACATGGGGCTAATGGAGAGCGCCGCCAGTGTCAACACGGTGACCAAAAGGGCGAGGGGCTCACGTCGTGTTCCAGCCCCCGCAAGGATCAAACAGGGCGCATCAGTTTGCGCCGCGGCACCGGGGGCCACGGCGAGCGCCAACGCCCTCTCCCGGACCAGCGGGAGGGGCGGGGCGGCGAGGACGGGGCGGCGAGGACGGGGCGGCGAGGACCTGCGCGACAAAGTGGTTTTGCGTGTCCGCGTGCATAGCGGGGGGGAGGAGGAGGAGATAAACCAGCAGAAGCAGTCCGGATGGGACACATATTACGTAACGCGGAGCACGACAAAATGGCTGCCTTGCAATGCCTATTGTACGACATCTCACTCGCGTTGTGCAACTCGCAGCAGCAGCAGGCCGCCGCCGCCGAGTCGGGCTGCGGCGGGAGTCACCGGGCACAAAACCTTCAGGCTCGCCCAGCCCGACTACGCAGCCCCCCCACAAGCAGGTCGAGTACAGTCAATGATGAGCTCAGATACAACCATCCGGGCCGTAACGCTAATTACGTAACATGTGTACTTCTTTTTCGGGATGGGTATACGTTTACAATGCATTGCACCTGAGAGCGGGGCAAAATTATGAAGTCATCCGGTCCGCGAGTGGCCGGCGACACCCACCCCGGGCCGGGCTCGAGGACGCCCGCCACGCCCCGCCACCTCCCGTGACCCGCGCAGCGCCACTCTACCGCAGGGAGTCCAGACGTTCTCGCTCGGCTCGCAGGGACCGGCTGGACAACCAACCGAGGCGAGCCGAGCGGCCGCGCGGCGTTGCCACGTGGCGCGCGCAAAACCCGGCCGAGCCGACTAGATCGGCGGGACGAGCCGGCAACGCCGCACCGCTCCGCGCCGGCAGCTCCACATGAAGAAGCGTCGCGCCAAACCCGCCAAACGTAACACGACGACATTTCGTGCAATTGGCTCATCGGTGATGCCGCCTTCTCCTTCCCCTACCCTTTCCTCGCCGCCCCCTCTCCCCTCCCCCGCCACCGCACTCGACGTGGACGCCCTGAGGACGCCAGGACGCAGACGCCTCCAGGCCGTGGGCCCGCCCTGGCTACGCCCGCGCCGCCCGCGCCGCCGCCCAGCTCGGCGCGGCCCGACTCGGCCCTCGAGGCCCAAATTATCATGTTCCTCCGCGATGGCCGCTGTCCTGCATGGCTGGCCGTCGCGGCCAAAGGCTTGCCGGTAGGTGTGGCCTAGTGCAGATAGGCATCGCGGCAGTAAAAGTGGCCAGGCTGGGGCTCTGCTCCGCGGGGGGAGGGACCGAAGGGTTAGACAATTATCTTTATCTGGAGCGGGCCGGGCGGTGCCGGGCCAGGTTGTGTCCAGGGCGACCCGGGCCGGCCGGCCAGCCGACCGGCCTCCCGCGCGCCCTTCCTCGCCATACTGGCTGCTCACACGACACGCGCTGATACCATCTTTACAGCGCCCGCGGGGCCCACTGCAGGGCCAGCTAGACGCGGAGTGCACGCTGTCCCCCGTGCGTGCAAGCTCGCGTGCGTCTGTGCGTGCGTGCGTGCGCTGGGCGCGTTGTGGTGGCGCTACGGCCGGCCGGCCACTAACTCAGAGGGACCCTTTCAGAAGGTACCTCGGACACCGTTTGTGTACAGAGCGTTGCAACGCGTCGCCACTGCTCCCCACCGGTTTTCGATCCGCAATCTCGAGAGCCGCCCCCTACAAGCCCCCC